GAATATCAGAAAAAATCATATGTGATGACCGTTTAAAGGTGATGAAGAGAAAATAATTAAAATTCTGAGTCGCGGAAGGTGAATAGCATGCAACAATTCTTCTTGGTAGTGGAAGTGCTCTTTCTTAATATTGTAGTATTGTCCAAACTTAACAAAATCTCCCTCCTTTATATTGTAGTTAAGATATACTTTTTATTACATGTTTTTATTGTAAAATTTTCATTTTTAAACGCTCATTTTTGGGGCAACTAAATGTCATCTTCATTGAATTGAATTTTCTACCATTTATACAATTACTTACCTAGGTAATATGTAATTATAGTATATTTTCTTGTTTGGAGGGAGTTGGCTTGTGTTTTTTATGAAATTTTCATTTTGTGAAAGATACAATCTTTTACTTTCTTCATTTATTTTAAATGTTATTTTAGTTTTGTAATATTTTCAAAAATAAGAGACTTTTTAATATATCAAGATGATATTGTTTTTTTGTTTTTTTTCCTTAAAAGTTAATCTTTACCTAAAATGCACAAGAAAATTTTGAAAAGCTAGATGGAGTAGGGGAAAATGGGAAGGAATCACATGTTATGAATGAGTAAAGTAAAGCAGATTTATATTAGTTTTTTCTTTTTTTTCGCCTACGATTATTATCTTGTAACCGTTTCGTAATTAAATTTTTATATTTTGAATTTCTCAATAAAATATTTTATTTCCGCTACTAATGAGGACTGCTCAATGCACCAAAATAATAATAAAGTGGATTGGGATTGAACATTTTATTGATGGATCTTTGCCTATATATCATACTAACCTTTAGGTAGTTTACCAAGCTTTAAAGAGTTCAAGAAATGTTTTAGTACAATTTCGTAATATTTCTCCTTTTTCAGTCAGGTCGCTTAGATGTTAAGCGTTTGGCAAACATAAAGTTATACGAGCATCAAAGAAGCAAAAAGATAGTAATGTGTCAGTACTTGTGTCTGTTAGCCCTTCATGTCTATACGATTTGTTAATTTACTTGGTAATTGTCAACTTTTTACAGTATCACTCTATACATGAATAGTAAAAAAATCTTTTACTTGCACGTTAATTTCATTGCACCCATCTAAGAATTGAGTTGTTGGATAATCAAATAATAGATTAGTTGAAGAGCAAATGTCCAACAAGTTAAAGTGAGTCACTATAATTTTTACTAAAGAATGAGAACACATATATATTAGTAAAAATCTAGCATGAACAAATTCAAGTTTATTTTACCTATATAAAGGTGAATATTATTAATCATATCCTAAAAAGGGTCTATTATATTGTTGATAGTCACAATCATGTGACACAATTTTGATACAAACTTTGATGAATAGTCCATGATTTCAAAGTGAAAATTACAAATTAAATGTGTGTGTCTATATATATATATATATATATATATATATATATATATATATATATTATATGAAAGTTCTTATTCAGAAAGAATATTTAGAGAGTACGGTTGAAATAAGTAGATGGTAATTTGATAAACATTTAGGACATGAATAACCATTATTCATTTGCGGAAAAAAACTCTTATAAGTGGTGTTATTGCTAAGAATAAGGGTATATTTAAATTTAAACAGAAATGTAGATACACTACATTGATTTTGCATAAAATTTAACTTAAGGTACTACTATATTTGCATAAAATTTATCATTTAAATTTATCTACAATTTTATATACATAGATGCTATCAGTGTTTAAAAGGCAGGAACGTGAGACGAGGCATTTTATACAGTATGAGGCGAGACATAAGCCTCGAGACACGGGGCATAAGTCTCATGGATCTACAGGGCATAGTCGCATGTTTCAATTTTATAGTTTTATTACTAATAAAATAAGGAAAAATAAATTTTTCAATGAATTATGAATATTATGTGAGATATCAATAGTTTTTGGTACTACATCATTTTGACACCCCTAGTTTCTGCGAATATTTACAAAGATATCAATAGTTTTTGGTACTACAACATGTAACTGTCACACCCAATATAAGCTACTTCGATGAATTAGACCTGCAAAATCTTAATATATGCAGAACTCTAATAGTGCGTCAGAAAAGAGACAATAAAAGGTCATCTAAGCAACATAGTACCATGTGATGATGAGATTTCACCTCCTTCTATGTCCCTCACTAATATGAAAAGCAACCTATTCATCTGACCATATCTCCAGAATTAGTAGCCTACAGATACTGCTTGGAGTACCCTCACATGACAACATGGATACAGCTTAGAGTAGCCAGCTTATGATATCATGTTATATTTAAGTGCCCATAAATTAGTTTGGAACATTTTACATGAATGTGCAGTGTGTTAAAGCATCTAACCTGACGAAACTTGAATTTAAAAAAGAACTTAACAGGATTACAAGTGGACAACTTCGTGATACAAGCAAGAAAAGAAAGAAACAACTTCACTAACCACTTCATCAGCTAAAGAATAAATAAAATTTTACAATTTGAGCACGTCATTATATATACCATCCTAAGGAACCTGAGAGAATAAGTTCCAATGCTTTTCAATTGACCTTACAAGACTAAAATACTAGGGCATACTTTAATTTTAAACTTATGAGGTTCTCAAATTACCTGTTGCACCGCGGCTGCTGGCATGGAGTTAGCCGAGGCTTCCCACAGTGAGCCACATGATATTAGGGTGCCCTTGCATCCCGTGTTGCATTTGACAACTACAACATTGTTTGACACATAAACTTCACAATGGACAGAGTTATTATCAGCCAAACACTACCAACAGCATCCACGAACAACCTCGCAAACAAAAAGCAAAGTAACAACTGTTTTAGGATATATACGTGTGTATATATATGTATATGTGTGTGTATATGTGTGTGTGTATATATATATATGTGTGTGTGTGTGTGTGTGTGTGTGTATATATATGTGTGTGTGTGTGTGTGTGTGTGTATATGTGTGTATATATATATACACACACATATATATATACATGTGTGTGTGTGCATATAAATATATATATATACATGTATGTATATACATGTATGTATATGCATATATATGTATGTATATAACAAAATTATTATTAAAACTAATAAAAGAAACCTTCGAATCACTATATATATATACACACACATATATATATACATATATATATTTTTGATTGGTACCTCAGTCCCTTTGGTTGGGCATTGGTGCAACATTACCTATTGATAAATCCCTAACTTTAGGTCTTACACGACATGTGTATTTAGGTAATAGTTTCTTCAAAGCGAATTATTCACCCCTCTTCTTTTTGAATTCGAAAGAGCGAGGTCTTACTTATTCAGGGGCATGAAAGACAAATAAAGGGATCAGGAAGCTCTATGATCGGAGAAAGAGAAGGGTGTCACCGTTCTCGATGCGTGACATATCTCTAGTTGAATATTGAAGCTTTTTTGAATTTGAAAGAGCGGGGTCTTACTTATTCAGGGGCATGAAAGACAAATAAAGGAATGAGGGGGCTCTATGATCGGAGAAGAGAAGGGTGTCACCGTTCTTGATGCGTGACATATCTCTAGTTGAATATTGAAGTGATAACTCTTTCCTGGCAAATTGACAACCGCAGCTTCGAGGAAAGAGAAGTACCCAAACAAACTAAAACCACACCATGGAGTCTCTATGATCAGAGAAAGAGAAGGGTGTCACCATTCTTGATGCGTGACATATCTCTAGTTAAATATTGAAGTGATAACTCTTGCCTGGCAAATTGACAACCACAACTTCGAGGAAAGAGAAGTACCCAAACAAACTGAAACCACACCATCCAAGCTACTTCAAGATGCCAATACCTTCTCAACTTCACAAACAGTACGCTGACATCCGTAGTGCTTTTTTACAGGTAAGAGATCTAGATCAGCAAATACAACAAATGCTTAAAAACATGAGTCGAACTATCGAACATTATCAAAACTACTGTATGACTATAGCGGACTACTTCTTAGAACCTCCTTGATCTCATTCCCTCTTCCTTCTCATGTTTGGTGGGTTCATCAGGTGGATAACAAAATATCAACAGATAACACAAAAGTTTCACTACTCGCGACACCTTCACACACCTAAAGCTCATGGGCTGAAATAGATAAGAAAGCCATAAAACATGGAAGAGGCCCTCTTCTCATTTTGAATGATCCAATTGCCTAACAACATCGAATACAGAAAGCAACACCTATAAGGGAAAAAGCAGAAGCTTGAACTAATACTGCTCCAGAGAAGGGGATACTAGAAAAGATGATCTGTTGTTGGTACCGGAGAAGAGGTTTACTTTGTTACAAAAGAATTGAGAGATCTAACATCAAACAGCAGACACTATGTGATCTATACCCTTACTATCATATTGCCTCAGGTAGGATTAAAAAGAAATTGGGATAACCTAAACAGGAAGTCCTTGGATGCCTCGAGAAACCAACAAAAGAGAGAATTTACAGCAACGTCTAACTTGAAGACAAATCTGCAAACCCAGGGACATCCGAAGCACAAGAGGCCAAGTATCCCAAGAGAATTCCTAAGAACCTGCACCTGAAATCATAGTCGGAGCCCTGTTCACCAAAATGTCATTTCCTAACGATACAACCAAGACAATCGAAGCACGGTGAAACATACTCATACATATATATATAAGGAAAAATGATTAAAAAATACAGAAATCTCCTCTAAATTATACGATACCTGAAGTATGACGGCCATATGTAAAGTGCAACATGTGAATGAAAGCAAAGACCGCAACATTTTTTTAAAACTCGATCTGGGACGGGCGGGGCTTCTTAGAAGATCCCCGTTTACTTCTGCAAAGTCCTACTCAATCTCCAATACAAGAAACCCAAGGATCAAGGAACAATTTCTGAAATAAGAAATGAACTATACGAGTACTAGAACATGACGAGAACAAAGTGACGAAACCATCACTGACTGATCTGTGAAGTGTTAGTTGGCTGAACACTCTATCTGGTTAGTGAATTATTTTTTTTTAAACTTTTTTTTTAAACTCTATCTGGTCAGTGACATTTAACAAAACATACCATCTGTGAAGTGACATTTGACTCAACATACACCAATTATATAGCAACAACCAAAAAATGAAAGAACAAAGGCTACTTATAGTCAATGGTGATTTCAACCATATTAAGAAAATAGTGCACACCTTAATTCGGAACAGTACTTAGATGAACAAGATCTGTTGAAAAAATTCCCAACTTGCACGATGATCTGATATGTGATGGATTTTGATGACAGAACAAAGGTTACCTATATGGCCAATGGTGATTTCAACCATATTAAGAAAATTAGTGCAAACCTTAACTCGGGAGAGTATCTAGAAGAACAAGAGTTGTTGAAAAAATTCCCAACTTGCAAAAGATGAACAAAGTTATTTACTTGATCTCTTCTAGATCCAACGAATTGCCGCTAGCTCTTTGATGCAAAGAATGTTCAAATGGCAATGTTTTAAGGAGAGAGGAAGTGTGCAATCTCTCTTTCTACATTAAAGTTTTAAATTACAGTTAACAGTCTGAAGCAACTCCTCAAATGACTGAATCTCTGAAACATAACAGGCATGTTAAAAAAATAGGGGAGGAACCATGAAGAATAATACAGAAGCTTCAATTTTATATTATTTTTTGAAATAGGTAACTTTCAAAAAAGAGGCTTCATTACCCAACTACAATAAGTCTGAAAATAGTGATTATGTCTGCAGATAACCCAATAAAAAAATCAGAAATTGGATGATATGACCATGTACGGTAACCACCACTGTCGTGCTAAATTCTCAGTTAAACTCACAACAAGAAGAGCACCACTTCAAAGAGTGTACGGTAAAAAAAATATCATACTGACCAAGAGAAGAGAACTGAACTGAAAATTCGGCACTCGCAAGAGCTTGAACCAAATGAAACCTCAACATGAATCAACAAACAAAAGAAGCCCCATGGAAAGAAGAATTTTACTTCTTTAAGAACACAACTGCAAACACAGAAAGAAGGAACAGTGTGCAAAATTGGCAAAACCCAAACCACTTGGGAAATCACTAGAACTGACGTAGAAAACATTAAGAAACCCCCTTCTTCTCAAAGCACCACCAATATCCAGATTATCGTGCAAGCACCTTAATGACCAGTTGATCTAGTCCCCCTCCCCATACTGTTCACTATATTGTATATAGATCCTACTATCCTCCAATATTGTTCGCTATGTGGTATATACATCCTTCCAACAGACGAAACAGAAGAATGGAGATAGGAAGCAAGACATGGAAGGTAGATGAGCACTTAACAGGGCTATGAAAAGATCCAAAAATTACCAAGTACTTACCAAAATGTCCACACCCATGAGAGCCCTCATAAGTTTGATCACAGCAAACATAAACATCTGGAATAAACGCTGAAAACGAACTTTTGGAAAGAATTGTCGTAGTTGAGGACTTCTGCATAACAGCACTTCTGACAACAAGATAAGGAATCTCTATGAACAAGGAAGAAAACTGAATCGAAAAGATAGATACTAATAAAGCCTGGACTAAGGAAACTTCAACGTTAATTGATAAAACGAGGTTGCTCCATGAATGTAAGACTTCACTAATCTTCGAACCCAACAACAGTAGGCACAATAATAAAAAAAGGAACAGTCAAGAATGCAAAGCCATAAAACCCACGCCACATTAGAAGAGATCACTAGAAATGCCAGGAAAGTGCGAAACTCCCTTCCCTCGGTGCCTAATGATATCCAAATTGCGTGCAAGCACCAAAACAGCAAAAAAAGCAGCGGGATACACACTGAAGCCAAACTTCGTAACCAACAATTCCTGCACTAAATGTGAATCTTATATATTATGCATGCGCTTGAGCTAAATTGTATTCTTGGACAAAAAAGCAGGGTACACAAGGATACAGACTGAAGCCAAACTTCGAGACCACCAAATCCGATCCCCTCACTGTCACTTATCTTCGAACCCAACAACAGTAGGCACAAGAAAAAAAAGAAACAGTCAAGAATGCAAAGCCATGAAACCCACGCCACATTAGAAGAGATCACTAGAGATGCCAGGAAAGATCGTGAAACTCCTTCCCTCGGTGCCTGATGATATCCAAATTGCGTGCAAGAACCAAAACAGCAAAAAAGCAGGGTGCACAAGGATATACACTGAAGCCAACCTTCGAAACCACCAAATCCTGCACTAAATGTAAATCTTACATATTATGCATGCGCTTGAGGTAAATTGTATTTTTGGACAAAAAAGCAGGGTGCACAAGGATACACACTGAAGCCAAACTTTGAGACCACCAAATCCGATCCCCTCACTTTCACCATGTGCTCTACACAGATCCACCCAAACAAACAATACAAAGTGGCACGATAAACTTAAGAAAACAGGAGCAGAGAAGTTAAGTAGCAAGAATGCACCAAATTATAGGAGCACTCTCAAATCCATATGAAAATCTAATGTATTTCTCAGGTGACCATAACAATCAGGGATCTCATCAGTTGGATCATCCAAGAAAATAAGCAACTACACTAAAAGCTTCATAGCTGCAAAGTACAACACACGCACTAGTGGAAGATATTATCATTGTTATTTTGACAAAAACAAAAGGCACCCACTGATTAAGAAGAAAACTGAATAGAAATTCACTCTCAAGAAGATCCAACGGTTACGCACAAGAAGAACGAAACCGATAAGTGCAGAACATGGGAAACCCATACCACGAAGGGTCATTAGAGATGCCAAACAACATAACATTTCAACTGCCCTTTTCTTGGGGCATGGTGACATCCAATTATCCAGGTTGCACCAAATTTGCAAGAAACGGGGTCCACAATGATGCTCACCGAACGCAAACTACAAAATTTCCAAAACGTATCCTCTTCACTATCATATCAACATGTGGCAAACAAGTCATCCAACCAAATTTAATCAACTGGTAGGCTACACAAACACAGAAAAGGCAAGTAGCAAGAACTGATCAGTTGAACATAACCATCTGGATTAATTAAAAGAAAGAATATGGCAACAAAATACATAATAGTTAAGCAGTGCTGACAAATAGAGAAAGGAACAAGAACAATTCTGATTACGGAAGAAAACTGGATTGAAGATCCCAATGATATTAAAAGCATCAACCAGAAAACCTAAACATATTGACAGACAAGGAACTCCATGAGAAGAAAAATCTACGGCTCTGTAAGACCCAGCGACTGCAAGCACAGGTTGAATGGAACAGTTAAGTGCAAAGTTGGTGAAGCATGCTACATAGAATCTACTAGAAATACCAAGACAAGATTGAGAACCGCCGTTTTCGAAGCCTCTTGACAATATCCAGATTATAGTGCAACAACAAAGAACACAGTACACCAACCATCAAAATCTTCCACGACTAATCCCCTCAACTTCACCATACATACATCCAACAAACAAAATCAAGCTAGTGTAATACAAGTATAAGGAAGCAGAGAATCTGAGCAGCGAGAACAACAAAAGAGAGGACCATTTTACAAGACTTTCAAAAGATCCAAAATTGAGTACTTGTTCGGTATCCACAAGACCATAACCATCAGAAATCTTATCAATTGGATAATTGAAGAAAATAAGCATAAAAAAATTATTTAGTTGAAAATCCCAGTGCCCATACAAGCCTGAACCATGGAAATCTCGAACATAAATTGTACAAACAAAGCCGCTCCATCAAAAGAATATTTGCTCCATAAGACCCAATGGCTGCAAGCACAAAAAGAAGGGTACAATCAAGTCCAAAACTGACAAACCCATTCCACCTAACAAATTACTAGAGATGCCATGTAGACGATATTTAACAAACCCCTTCTTTGTTGAAGCCCTGACCAATGTATCCGGATTGCCAGTGCGAGAACCAAAAATACTAAGAGGGTAAATTATAGTGCAAATTGTGCAAGAACCAAAAAGACTAACAGGGTACACAGATGGCATACTGGAAATCAATCTTTGAAATTTCCAAATCTTTAACCTCTAATACTTCCACCATATTTTCTACACATACATCCAACAAAAATAAGTAGTTGTGACAACCAAAAGAGAATGGCAGGAAAACACACATGTAGAGCTAGAAGACCAAAAGTACAGGATCACTTAATGGCACTGTCAAAGATCCAAAATTGACGGAGTACTTATCAGGTGTCTATAACCATAAGAGACCTCATCTGTTGAAGCCTGATAATATCAGAATGAGTGCAAACACAAAAATCGCAAAGAAACAGGGTGCAGAGGAATGAACAATGGGCATCAACCTTCGGAACTTCCGAAATCTAATCCTCTCAACCGCCATCCATCCAACAAAAAAATCAAAATCAAGCAAGAGTGATGCAACAAACAAGAAGCAGACTACAACACATTAGCTTGAATATTACCACTGTAGAGAACTTCCACGCAATATTAGTTTTGACAAAGAGAAAAGGGACCCACTGAGTAAGAGATCATTATGTGGAAGACCCAATGGTTGCATGCACAAAAGGAACGAAACAAGTATAAAACATGGGAAACTCATACCACGCGGAGAGATCACTCACTAGAGATGCCAAAAAATGCAACAGAAAAATTCATACCTTGAACCCTGGTGATACCCAATCATCCAGATTGGGGTGCAAGCACCTGAATGCAAAGAAATAGGGTCCATAGGGATGCACATTGAAACCAAACCACAAAATTTACAAAACTTATCCTCTTACTATCATATATGGTGATGTGGCCTACAAACCTTCATTCAACCAAACACTAAATCAACTGGTCAGCTAAACAAAAGCACAAAAGGGAAGCAGCGAGAACACGAAAGTAGAATGCCTTACAAGGCTATCAAAAGATCCAGGCCTGATTTCAAATACACTCATCAAGTGCCCATAACCATGGAGATCTCATCAATTGGATCACCAAAAAACATAAGCATCTGCATTACTTAAAAAATAGCAACAAAATACACACTAGTGAAGCAGTGCAAAGAGAGAAGGGAACCATCTGATAATGGAAGAAATTTGAAATGAAGATCTGAATAATCTTTAAAGCATCAACCAGAAAACCTCAACACAATTCAAACAAGGCCGCTACATGAAATGAAGAATCTATGACTCTGTAGGACCCAACAGCTGCAAGCACCAAAAAAATGAAACAGGTAAGTTCAAAGCTGGTGAAGCCTGTACCACCTAGAATTCACTAGAAATGCCAAACAAGATCAAGAAATGCCTTCTTTCGAAGCCTCTGATAGTATCCAGATTGTAGTGTGCGCACTAACATGGCCAAGAAATAGGACTGCCCAGGATGCAAAACTGTACACCAACCTTCAAATCCTCCAGGTCTAATCCCCTCAACTTTCAAGCTGGAAAAATACAAGAAAAAGGAAGCAGAAAAATGAGCAGCAAATACTCGTCAGGTGTCCATAGACCATAATTATCAACCATCTGGAAACTCATTAGTTCAATAGTTGAAGAAACTAAGCATCTCGACTAAAAATCAAAAATGATGGTAAAATATGTGACAGTAGTGAAAACAAAAACTCTTTTAGTTATAATCCCAGTACTCATAAAAGTCTGAACTTCGATGAAAAGAACAATCCACCGCTCTTTGAGATCCAATGGCTACAATCACAAAAAGAAGAGGGTATAATGAAGTTCCAAGTTAACGAAAACCCACACCACCAAAGAAACCACCAGAGATGCCACATAAACAATTAAGAACCCTTATTCGTTGAAGCCCATGAAAATATATCCAAATTGCAGTGCAAGAACTGAAAAAGATCAAGAGGGTACAGATATACCATATTGGATATCATACTGGATATCAACCTTATCGATCTCCAAATCTTAGCCTCTAATTTTGTCACCATATAGTCTACACATCCATCCAACAAAAAGAATGAGTTGTGATAACCGAAAGACAATGCCAGCAAAGAACATATGTAGCCAGAAGACCAGAAGTAGAGGAGCAACTTATGGAGAGGTAAGATCCACAAACCGAGTACTTATCAAGTGACTACAACCATAAGAGACCTCATCAGTTTCATCAGTTTAATCATTGAAGAACGAAGTGTCTGGATTAAAAACCTCATTGCAACAGAACATGATACACACTTGTAAAAAAATATTATCCTTGCCAAAAATCTTCCATACAACAATAGCTTTGCCAGAGAAAAGGCAGCCACGAGGAAAGGGAACTGAATTGAAAATGTCAATACTCATATAAGACCCTCAACACAATCGGATAGACACGGCCACTCCATGAAAAGAATAATTCAGTGCCCTGTAAACGATGGCTGCACAAATTAAAAGAAAAAGACAGTTGAGTGCAAATCTAACAAACCCCAAAATTACCCATATGTAATCACTAAATATGCCACAGACAAGACTGAAAAACCACTTTTGTCAAAGCCCGGACAATATACAAATTGCAGTACAAACACCAAAAAGAGAAAGGTGGCGGAGGATCACATGTTGATTAAGACCAAGCTTTGAATCTGAATGTCCATAATAGTTCCACCATATCAATACACATCTATCAAACCAAAATAAACTATCATGATTATGATAGATATTGGAAGCACCGAAGCTATTGTATCTAGAAGAACAGAAGTAAAGAGGCATTTTACATCACTATCAAAAGATCTAGGATTGGCCTAGTACTTAATCAGTGTCCATAGCCACGAAAGACCCCATCAACATAGGAAACCTCATAACCTGGATCATCAAAGAGCATATGTTTCCAGACTAAGAACTTCATGGCAGCAAAAATACAACACACTGGTCAACAATAATATCCTAATTGAGAGAATCCCAATGCGATAGCAGTTATTACAAAGATAAGAGCCATGAGGGAAGAAAATTGAATTGGAAACTATTGATAAAGTAAAAAAGACAAAGATAAGAGCCAAGAGGGAAGAAAATTGAACTGAGAATTATTGATACTCATAAGAGACTGAAGTAAAACGACCTTAACACAACCGGATAAACACGGCCACTCCATGAAAAGAATAATTCACTACCCTGTAAAATATGGCTGCACAAATGAAAAGAAAGGAACAGTGGAGTGTAAATCTAACAAACCCCAGAATCACCCATATGTAATCACTAAATATGCCATAGAAGAGACTGAAAAAACCCTTTTGTCAAACCCCAGACAGTATACAAATTGCAGTGCAAACACCAAAAAGATAAAGGTGGCAGAGGATCCCATGTTTGATTAAAACCAAACTTTAAATTTTCCAAATCTGAATGTCCATAAAAGTTCCACCATATCGCTACACATCTATCCAACCAAAATAAACTATCATGATAATGAAAAAAATTGGAAGCACAGAAGATAATAAGTAGCTTGAAGAACGGAAATAAAGAGGTATTTTACATCACTATCAAAAGATCTAGGATTGGCCCAGTACTTCTTCAGGTGTCCATAGCCAAAAAAGACCCATCTACATAGGAAACCTCATAACTTGGATCATCAAAGAACATATGCTTCCGGACTAAGAGCTTCATGGCTGCAGAAATACAACACACTGGTCAAAAATAACATCCTAATTGAGAATATTCCATACAACAGTAGTTATCAAAAAGATAAGAGCCATGAGGGAAGAAAATTAAGTTGAAATTATTGTTATTGATACTCATAAGAGACCGAAATAAAAAGGCCTCAACGCACATGGACAAACAAGGTCAGTCCATTTAAAAAAAAGAATCTACTGCTCTGTAAGACCAAATGACAGTAAGAAAAGGAATGATAGAAAGAATTACTTGCAAAGTTGATTGAACCGACTAGAGAATGCAACAGATTGAAAAACCCTTCTTGTAGCCTGATAATATCCATATTACGATGCAATCACAAAAATTGCAAAGAACAAAGATTGAGAAACCCCTCTTATCTTGCCTTACAATATTCAGATCGAGTACCAGCACAAAAATGGCATATAAACAGGTTGCACAAGCATGGACATTGGCATCAACCTTCACAATTTTACTAATCCTCAACTTACATCCATCCAACAAACAAAATCAAGTTGGAGTGATACAACAAACATGAAACGGAGAGCAGACCCACTTGATGGGGCTGTAAAGAGATCCAGGATTGAGTTTTGATGACTAATCAGGCGTCAATAAGACCATATACCCACCCATTAACAAACCAGGAATCTCATCAAATGGATCATCAAAGAACACATGCAGCTGAACTATAAACTAAAAACGACAGTAGAATACAACACACACTAAGAAAAATTATTTTTTTTGAAACCGGTGACTTAGTGCAAAAAAAACTAACTTAGCTGGGAACTTCCACATAACAGTCATTTTTGATGAAGAGAAGAGGGACTGAGAATCACAGTACTCATAAAACCCGAACCAGATACTATACTGGATATCAACCTTTGAAATCTCCAAACCCTAACCTCTAATATTTTCACCATATAGTCTACACATTCATCCAACAAAAAATTGCAGCAAATAATATATGTAGCTAGAAAACCAGAAGTGAAGCAGCGCTTCATGGAGAGATAGATCCACAGACTGAGTACTTATCAAGTGATTGTACCCATAATAAGGGGAGACCTCATCAGCTGGATCACTGAAGTTTCTCTGGATTAAAAGCTTCTTGGCAGCAGAACACAACACACACTTGCAAGAAAATATTATCTTAATCAAAAAACTTCCCTTCAACAATAGTTCTGATAGAGAACAAGGATCCACAAGGAAAGAAAATTGAATCGAAAATCTCAATACTCATAAAAGAGACTGCTAAAGAAACCTCAACACAAACGGATAAGGCCGCTTCATGAAAAGAATAATCCACTGCCTGTGGTTCAATGACTGCATAAATTAAAAGGAACAGTTAAGTGCAAATCTGACGAACCCTAAAACCACCCATGTAATCACTAAATATGCCATAGACAAGACCAGAAAAAACCTTATGTCACAACCCGGACAATATTAAAATTGCAGTGCAAGCACCAAAGACCAAAAGATAAAAAGATGACAGAGGATTACATGTTGGTTATACCCAAGTTTTGAAACTTCCAAATCTGAATGTCCATAACAGTATCACCAAAATCGGAAACACAGAACATCAGTAGCTAGAAAACCAAAAGCAAAGAAGTATTTTTATGTCACTCACAACAATCTAGAATTGGCTGAGTACTTATTCAGCTGTCCACAGATATAAAAGACCCCATCACCATAGTTAACCTCATCACTTGGATCATCAAAGGACATATGGGTCTAGATTAAGGACTTCATGGCAGTAGGAATACACCACACTGTTCAAAAATAATACTGTAATAGAAACTTCCTTACAAACACTAGTTTTGACCAACACAGAAGAGTCAGGAGGTAAGAAAACTAAATTGAAAACTATTGATACTGAAAAAAGGCTGAACTAGAAAGGCCTCAACATATGTAAGAGTAAGACCCAATAGCTGGAAGCAAAGGAATGAAGGGAAGAGTTACATGCAAAGCTGACGAAACCCACTAGAGAATGCAAGACAGGGTTGAAAAACCCCTCTCTCGAAGCCTGATAATATTTACACTATGGTGCAAGCACAAAAATGGCAAAGTATCAGGATTGAGAAACCCCTCTATCTTGCATTATCAGATTGCAGTGACAGCTTTGAAATGACAGAGACACAAGTTGAACAGGAACAGGCACTGGGCATCAACCTTCAAAATTTTCCAAGTCTGATCCTTTTGACTATCACCCGTCCAACAAATAAAATTAAGCTAGGGTGACACAAAAACAGGAAGAAGAGAAGATAAGCAGCGAAAATATACCAAAAGGAGACCGACACACTTGGTGGGGTTGGTCAAGAGATCTAGGATCCAGTGTTGATCACTTATCAGCTGCAATTAGACCATATACCCACCAACCACCAGGTGGACCTCTTTATTTTTTTGGCGAACAACACAAGCATCTGAACTAAAAACAGCAGCAGAATACAACTCTAGTGCAAGAAAAACTATTTTTAGCTGGGAACTTTCATTTAGAGGCAATTATCGACAAAGAGAGGAGGGACCACTCTGATTTGGGAAGAAAACTAAAATGAAAATCTCGATACACAAAACCAGAAATAGAAAAACCTCAACACGGATTTCCATACAAAAACCTCCATGAAAAGAACAATCCAATACTTGGTTAAACCCAACTGCAAGCACAGAAAGAAGGAAACAGTCCAGTGCAAAGCTGACAAAACCCTCATCACATGAGAAACCACTAGAGATGCAAGACCCAATCGAAAAACCCCATTAGTCCAACCCTTGCAATATCCATCTTGGAGTGCAAACACTAAATAGACGAAGAAACAGGCGCGCATGAATGCATACTTTATACAAGACTTTGAAGTCTCCAAAAATAATCCTCTGAAGTCTCCAAAAATAATCCTCTATTAATGTCAGCATGTGGTCTACACACATTCACCAACAAACAAAATCAAGCAGGCCTGATAACCAACGGAAAATGGAAGCAAAGAGAATATAAGTAGCTAGGACACAAAAGGCAGAGGAGCACTTCACAGCACAATTAAAACCACTAGAGATAAGGGGATCGTCAAAGAACATGAGCATCTGAACTATATAAGTGGAGCAGAACGTCGTATACACACAAATGAATAGAATCATCATAGTTGAGAACTTCCATAAGCAGTTTTGACAAAATTTTGAGAGACTCAAAAATCAAGTACCAATAGTAAAAACCTGGGAACTGCTTTATCTTCCCCGAGATGAACATCAAATCAAGACACTAATTCCTGTACAACCACATGCACCTAGATGCCCCATGTATTCTTGATAGCTATTAACGACGCGCAAAATAAGTTGAGCGAGGAGAACCATGATCAACATCAAAATTAGCATTAAAGATATCATATCCAAACTGATAAGTCCAAGAAAAGAAGATGGGACTCATTCATCTCAAGATCCAAATTTCCACTTCTGTAAATCGTTGGGCTTCATAGTAAATAGGGTAACAAAAACATGGGATTTCTCAAAACAAAAACGTCAGGATTTCTCAAAACCTGGAAGCAAAACTCGATTCTCCCGAAACTGCATCTAGAATGGTTATCCATTAATCAATCAGAAAATAAATGCACTGCAAAGGTACCCATAATCATTCTCCTATCATTATTGCCCAATCCTGATCAAATAAACACCAAGAACGAATCAATAAATTAGCAAAAGAAAAACAGAACTAATAGCGAACCCGTAACGTTCCTCCTCCTCTGTCTACAGAGATGATCGCAAGACCTCAGAATTATATAAAACTTGATCAATCAATGCAAAATTCAAAGGAAGAGCACCAAATCATCATATCATAAAAAACAGAAAAATCAACAATACAAACCAGCATGGAACATTTGGCTCTCTGTTGAAGTCTATTTATAGGGTCGATTACGCGGATGTATTTGGACCAAGAATATTTCAAAGGCAGTGGGCGGTGGGACGGTGTAATATATTAATCTGGCCAAATATTATTTCTTTCTTAATATTTTGAATAAATTTAAAAATAACTCTCTAATAAAATTTAATTTTAAATAAATCATGAATAAGATCTATAGAACGCGATACAAATTTAGTTAAAATTTTAATGTAGATCCCAAATATCAAATAAAACATAAAAAAATTAAATATTATATGTATTTCTTGACTGTTTATTAGCTACTTGTGTATTCTCTCTTCATTATTATTATTATTATTATTATTATTATTATTATTATTATAAGAAACTTTAAGAAATTGTTATAGTATTTATTATTAAGAAATTGTTATAAGCTTTATAAAAAAGAACTTATGTACTACTAGATACAAGAATCATGTGCTAGCGTGGATTCAATGAATATTATTTTTTTGGAGTCAACTAAAACTTTATATTTATACTAATATAGTAAGTTATAAGTTATTAATTATTATGATTAACAGTATTTTTACATAATATATCTTGCCTTCTTTATCTTGATGTATATAGATCGAGCGGATTTTGAAAGTTAGCTAATCTTTTTAATATTTTTATAGATATTTAAGTTGTTAATTATTATAATTTATAATAATTTATCTACGTATTTTCACATTGAATATGACACTCTCTCTGTCGCAATTTATGTGGATAAAATACGAGTCAATTAATTTTTAGACAATTTAAGTTGTAATTACTATGATTTATAATAATATTTTACGTATTTTTCACATTATGTATGTTACTTTCTCTACCTCAATTTATGTGGACAAAAAGTTTAAGAGTGAACAATTTTTTAAACATTTTAAGGTGTTATTATTAATATTGATAGTCTTCTATACGTTGTTATCAAATATAACATAAAAAGAAATAACAACAAACAAATTAGTACTCGAGATAATAGGGTCGACGTCGATTCAATTCATTCAACCCATCTAGAATTTATTTGTCGATTCAATCCATTCAACTCATCCTCTAGGATCTATTAAGTTACCGATGCAGTTTTTCATTATCACAGTCCTAGAAAATGTATCCCATAACCGACCTAAATGCATTGTAACGCTATTTCTGGTAGCCTTTATAGTGCAATTTTGAAGTACTATTCTGATTGGAACGTCCGCAAAACACACTCTCTCTCTCTCTTCTAGCTGTGATTGTGTTATATTTATTGGTCAATAAAACACGTGCTACAATCAAGTAGTTTTGTAACAGGATTTCCGCGTCATCACATATAAAATATATTGTGTGATAGATTTTATAGTATCGATAGAATTGATGTTGTCTTTTACATACAAAATATCTCGATACCCATCAAATCGACATCTATAAAAAGATGTCAAATCTGCTTCAGATCTTAATGTCACCGCATGATGCTTTATGGGTCTGACATTATTCCTAAACGAACCCTTTCAAATTGTATAAGAAGAAACAACTATAATTCATCAAAATTTATAAAATTCATGTATATATAGAGAGGGACTTACCAATGCTTGTGGTATATAGGTTGTTTTGTTGTCGTCGACAAAATTTTTACTGCCCGTTATTATTATAGTATTCATCATTTCTCCGATCAGAAATATATTAGTCTTCTTTTATCAACTTAAATATATTTCTTATACGTCACTTTCTTAATTTTATCAAGAATGGCTAGACACAACGATCAGGGCCGTCAATATCGTTTTACTAATTGTGTTGAAATTTTCGGTCCCATCTCGCGTTATAAGGTGTTTTCGTTATCAGTTGGCTTTGAACACATATAACTATAGTTGCAGCAGCAAACGACGTTATTATATTCCCTACATTAAATTTTTTTAAAATATGATGAGTTTATGGACAAGAATTACTGCTACAGTCTAGAGATATGGAAGAAGAATACTGCAAAAATCATCCATGATGACACTCAAACATAATGAACAGAAAAGAAATAAAATTCTTTGGATCACTGAGTGACGAACATGCAACAATTCTTCTTGATAGTGAAAGAGTTCTACTCTTTCTTAATATTATAGCATTGTCCAAACTTAACAAAATCCCCCTCATCTATATATTGTAGTAAAAATATACTTTTTCTTGCATGTTTCTATGGTTAAATGTCATTTTTAAAGGCTCTTTTTGGACAACTAAATGTCATCTTCATTGAATTGAAAAAAAATTATGGATTTAGCAATATTGGGTTATTGATTTAGCGATTTTGACAGCGATTTCAATTTTTTATGTTATCGGATTATCGGTTCTTAACAGTTTGGGTTTTTCTTAACGGGTTAATTGATAACTCGATAGTAAATTAAATAATTATATTTATATCATATTGTATATAAAGTCTTTGATTTAGAGTTTGATTTCCTACTTTTATATTTTATTGTCTCAAACACTTGAATATTCTACAATGTAAAAGTGTGCTTTGGGGCATGATGTAACTTATAAACTCCTGTGCATAGTTTATTTGAATTGTCACTTTGTTTCTAAGCGATTTTCAAATATTATTTTTTTATCAAATCTTAACGGTTAAACCGATAACCGAACCGTTAACGATCAGAAATCGATAAACCAATAACCGATAAGTCAATATCTTAATGGTTCCATAACGGTTAAGCATCTCTACAAACTGATAAACTTTAAAACAAAACCTACCGATGGTAGCCCTAAGTTATGGTATTGTTTTCTTCTTATTGTCTATATCTATATGATAGGGGAAGTGATAGTGTGTGCGCATCAGCGCCACAATTAATACAATTAATCTCTATTTAAATTATTTAAATTATTCAAAAAATCTTATCAAAGAAAACAAGTTATTGTTTTTAGATTGTTTTTACCAATTAAATTTATTTGTTTGCTTACATTACCATTTTAAGAGTAAAGTTAGAGGGTTGAATTTCAAATTATAGAAAAATAATTAAATATAAGAAGTGGATTAACAAAATATATATTAATAATTATTATCATTTCTCTTTTGTTGACACCTATTTAGTACCTCCATCCACAACTGTCACCTGTTGTTTGTTTCTTCGTCTACATCTGTTAATTTGCAAAGTCTCTTTCAATATTCTTGAGAAAATAGCAAGTTCGTCTGTGCTCGGCTCATTTTCCTCTTTTTCGTTCGAAAGTTTCCATTGAATTTATACGACCTTTACTGATGCGTGTCTTTGTTTCGTTGATTTATGTTTGGGTCATGTTGTATTCGGTCTTAGTTGTAACATTTTGTTTATGTCCTCTGTTCATTTTTTCCACTTTCGGTCCCATGCATCTTTTCACTTTTGTTTTGTTGATTTATGTTCTTGTCGATGTTGAATTGGAGGAAATTTATGAAGTATTGCTGTATTTTTTCATTTGTTTGTCTGGGGTGTAGGTCGTTTAGGTTAGTAGAACTGTAAAATGTTTTCCACACTTTAGGCCTTTATTTCATTTACTGTTGACAACACAGTCTAATTATTTGTTTGTTTACTAAATTTCATCTGCTGGTTGAAATGAATGTGCCCTGAGAAACTTACACTAAATAGAACATCAATTGTTTCCTCAAAATTCAAGGTCCCGAGACTTTTGATATTGTCTTCGATTTGTACATTAGTTCACTTCATCAGAACCTCGAATCATGAAAAGGAATGATTGCAACAAAGCGTGCCAACACCACTACTTACAGTTGGAAAGGGGAGCGGTCGGAGGATGACAGGAAAAATCAATGTATTTTCTGATTTGTAACTAAAAGGACACTACTTTGAGGTGGAAAGGGGTGGGTCGGAGGATGATAGGAAAAAACCAATGTATTTTTCTGGTTGTAAAAATAACGACATATCTAAATGAAGGTTCAAATTCCAGAACGGGCCTGCACTCCAGATATACTTGTTATAACTGTTAACTTTCCATGAGATAATGAACCTAAATTCAGTTTGATGCCAGTAACATGCGTGTGTAAGCATAATGAAGCGACCCTAGAGAAGGAAAGAAAATTGACGATCTTTTTGATTTTCTGTATGTTGAGGTGTTTTTAGTTATGCAAACTACTTGGTTGACTAGGAATAAAAGTGTCTTATCAAATGTAATTATAACTAAATAGGTTATATGATATAAAGACAATGTCCTCTAAATAAATCAAAGTTAGCAGTTCCCTTTGTTTATGTCCAAAATGTGAGTCTAAACATCCGTGTCCTGTAGTTTTATGTTTCTATTCCTCAATTCTGTCATACATTTACTATTTCATCTTCTCCTCTTCTTTATTACCTTATGGTATATGAAAAGAACACATCTTGCAATTTTTAAGCTAATCGGCTTAGTTAATATTGACAGTACATATGGCGTGTCAAACTAAAGGAATACTCCAGCTTATATCATGCTACTTGTGGAACTTCTACGTTGTTGGATAGGTCAGTGAAAGATAATTCAACGAGAAAGAACAACTTCTTAATTTGTAGAATAAATTAATTAAAAAATAAAAATTTAGTTAAAAATCTTTATTTGAAATGAATCTGGATTACTTATTCAGTTCTTCTTTTTTTGAAACATTTTATTATTTACCGTTTCAATTTTTTATTTCATTTTATAATTTAGCTTATACATTATTCAAAATTTGAAGACTTAACTTATCTTTAAAATAAAAATTGAGATTTGAAAATAAAAGTTGAAACTGAAAATTCAATTAAAACTAATAGAAATATAATTGTTTATATATTTTTAAGTTTTCGATTCTTTTTACAAAACTTAGAAATGGTCATTGTTTATTTTTTTTACTTTTAAAATTGAAAATTGTTTTTAAACGATTTAAAAAAAATAAATTTTTTTTATAATAGTAAGTTACATAGTGATAAAGTTACAAGATAAAAAGATAAATAAATTGCAAAGATAAATAAAAATAACAAAAGCAGAACAATTTTTTAGTTAAGATAATATTTTGGAACTTCCAAACAGTTATGTAGAATTTGAAAGTAATCGATAGCATATTTTGTCAACCGTTTCAAACTCAGTTAAATTATTAGTGTCATTTTTATAGCAATATTTGGATAAAATTCTACTTTTGGCTAGCTCTTTATATA